TGTTGGCGCGTTCGTGGCTCGAGCGAGCATTGTTCAACGCCTCCCTGTGGTCCAACGTGGCGCTGCCGTTGCAGACGCTGTGGCTGCTCTTTGGGCTGAAGGAGGTTACGCTCTGACACAGGCACAACTTATGAAGCTGGGACGTTGTGCTGCCGTTTCCTTGATGGGTCGCGCTCGTGCTGGGACCGTCTCATGACACTCCCGTGCCCTCGCCCACGTGCTCGGCCCAGGGTTGCATCGTACTGACATGGCTTGCGTCTCCGTTTACACTGTTGTACGCCAGGTTTACCATATGCTGCTTGCGGGTATCGTATCATATGCGGACTGGGGCTTTATGCATCAACATCGGCTTGTCCTACGTGCCGGACCTGCGGTACAACTGGTCCGTGCCTGCCGCTACCTCGACATTGATTGGGTGTCGGCTACCAAGTTTACCTGCAATGGACGTGTATTTCGCTGTAGCCTGAGGCATGACCTACTCGCTCTGGCTCAACGCTCATCGGCTCGTACCCTTGCCCGCGCGGCCAAGGTAAAGAAGAACCTGCATGATCTTCGAGTCTTTCTACGGTTTGTGGTGACTCGGGGAGAGGCCTTACGTCGGCCTAAAGACTTTGCTGGTCTTGAATGCGGTCTTTGTGAGCATGCTGAAGCCCGCCTTCACCACCATAGCAGGACCCTTTGCTTTGGTGGGCCCGCCTTGCTGTCGGCAGGTCTCTGGACATCGCTGGCCATTTCACGCATCCCTTTCAGTGGCTCTGATGGTTTCTGCCCACGGTGCGTCACGCAAGTCGAGGCGACCATGCGCAAATTGTGGGGGTGCCCCCACAATGCCGCTGAACGGGTTCTTCTTGATGATGCCGTTCCTGGTAACCAGTTCCCGCTGCACTTACCTGCATGTCTTGCCCGCTCTGGGCTCGTTCCTGAGCACCTACCTGGCAATATCTCACGTGCTGATGCTATTGCTGTTTCACAATACCTTCTTCGTGTGAATGCAATCGCCACGCAGGCTTTGGCTGACCGTCGCTTGGGACGCCCAGTTTCCTTGACCCTGGACGTCCCTCGTTCGCAGCCTCCTGCTGACCTATATCGACAAGCTCTTCCTCCGTTACCTCGGCCACGGGCTCTTCATCTACCGCGACCTGGGCCAGCCCCTCGGCGGGATATGCTTCCTCCACAGCCAGGCCCTGGTGTGTTTCGAGCGCCTGCTCAGATTGCACTATCATCTGGCGGCTCCTCCCACTACGACGATTATGGTGACGTGCCTGGTTGGGGCTTTTGTGTTGCACGTGATGGACGGCCTGCTCTACTTGACTTTTGTGGGCCCACGGTTTTGTCTCAGCATGATCCTGGTTTTATTGGAGCCACGCTCCACTCCAACAACGCAGGTGAACTTGCTGGCATTTACTTTGCACTCTGCTGGATGTGGGAGTACGAGCGTGCTCGTGCTCCAGCCGAGGATGCCTTATTCGTCCTTGAATATGACTCTACGTATGCTGCTGATGTTATTCGGCGTCGTGTGCGACCCCGTCGTAATCTCACCCTGGTTTTGAGATCTCGGCGAATCCTTGACCGTGTTCGTTCGCCAATTGCCTGGAAGAAGGTTTCCTCTCATACTGGGCACTATTTGAGTGAACGTGCTGACCAGCTTGCTGCGCGTGGAGCTGCTGGCATGTCTGTGCAGGGGGCCTCCGTCTTCAGGTGGGCCGCTCTGTCTACTTGATTACCGTCTCAGAGGCCAGGCAGCCCCTGATCATTTCCAACCATGCCTTCGTGGACTTCGCGGGCGAACTGAACGCCCCCTTCTGCTCGCGGACCGCCGCCCCCTTGCTCGAGGCGTTGTGTTCGAGGCAACTGCAATCTACCATGATCACCCCTGTGCAACGCAATCTGGTTTCCCATTCCCACCGTTGTCAGCGCTGGCCCGCGTGCATTGTCAGCGCCGGCGACTTGCGCGGGCGTCGTCGCCTTATCTCCCCCTTCGTTATGCCCAGATTTCCTCGTTGGCCGCGGAACAAGATCATTGCGCCGTTGGCGGCGCTGTAGTGGCGACGATGTTTCGAAGCCTCAATCGGCTTGAGCGGGAAGTGGAAGGCAACGGCGGGTGGGCCTGCGACGACGTGGGCCCCCGAGTCCACGGTGACTAGGATAGTTTTCCACGCGCGACTCGGGGCGGCCCCCAGGGGCGCCGTTTACTTCATCTGGCCGATGATTTCCTCGGACCAACCTTACTTCGCACTCCGGCGCTGCTCTGTGAGCATGCTTGCTTCGCGTCCTCGCGCATCATCCTGCGCCTCGCTTTTCGCGCCATCTTATTTTCCCATCCTCGCTGGGATTCCCCATGGGACCCCATGTGGATCGGATTGGCCCGCGCGTGCTTCGCAACGCCGGGGATCCACGTCTGGCCGCGGCTTCTCAGGGGCATGCGCATGCGCTCTGATCCCCGTTCGCGTGCCCCACTACTTCCGCCCTCTTGGTGCAATTGGCTGCCGCGTGCCTTTCCTGGCCGCGCATGTAACATTCTCGTTCGCTCATGGACGCTTGTCCTTTGCAATTTGGCCTGCTGCCCATCGTGTGCGTCGGCTTGCGTGGCCCCTTGTATCCTCTGTAGTCCCATTTGAAATGCCCTTCTGACCCGCCAGGCTACCCCTTGCGCGTAGCATTGCCCTCGCCCTTGCCTCTGGCCTCGCAGTCCCCTGCGATGCGGCCCAGCTGGCTGCGCCTCTAGCGCGCCAACTTTCAGTTGCCCTATCCTGCGTTAACGGCATCCACGTCCCCATCTCCCCAATGCTGGTTTGCATTCAACCTCTGTATTCGTCATCTTCTGCTGGCCGCCACCTGCCTTCCTCATCGCGCCTACTTGGTGCCGCACAGCGTATGTGCCTAACGCGCCCTGGTCGTCTTTTTTTGCTCGCGCCACCTACGCCCATTGCATCGCTGTTTTTGGCGTCAATTGTTTCTTGCGGGCCCAGTCTACGCACCAGAGGTGCAAGTTCTGATAGCTCTGTGGTAAGTGAACCAGGGACATTCAAACAATCCGGCTGCCAATCGTCGAAACTATCTCCCGCGTAAATCTCGATGATTTCGGGTGCCCGTGTTCTGAAACGGGAGAATGGGGGCTCGTGGGACTTGCCGTGCCTTTTCCAACGTTCTCGTCAGTGCGCTGCTCTGCTCGAGTTGGACCGACGTATTGTTGACCCTTTGGGCCCATCGGGATTCATCGCCAAGCACATCTTAGCCGACAGAGTCACCGCGGTTTTTGCGGAGAACCACTTGTGAATCTTCATGTAGGCGACCACCCCGTCACATTCCCTCAGGCGATGCAGTTTTCCTCGCGCCTCGACACTTTCTAACTTCTTCTGTGGATATGTACCACAGGGCTTCCTCTAACTAGGTTGTGTAGGCTCCGTCCAGGGCGCCCCCGTCTCCCTTCTGGTTTTCCTCTCTTTGCTTCTAAAGCCTGGCGTGATTGTAGTCCGCGCCCGCCATGCGCCCGCTAAGCATTCTTATATGGTCTCCATCTTCACTTGGGTCGGGGGCGGCTCCATCCATAGCCTCCAGCTTTGAAACCAACGTTTTGGAGGCCATGTGATTTGCATTGTTGACCTGAGCACGCGCGCTGAAGAGCCGCTCGTTCCATTAGGAAAATCGGGTTGTGTGTCCATTTGAACTCTTTAAGAACTGAGTTGCCTGGGACTCACGTGTGGGTACCTGGTGCATCTTGTATTTCCTTGGCCCAATGTTGCTTGCCATTTTGGCGAGTATAATGTTCGTGCCCATCTTTCCAGCGAGTACCTTTTCCCGATTCGGCGACGATTGGCTTTACCACAGCCGTTTCCGTATCATGTCGGCTGTCCCGGTTGGTTATGCTCAGTAACGCCGCGTTGAACTTGCCAGACAGATTTACCATTGACGTCAGACGAATCATGGTTGCCTCTGCGCTCTCGCTCATAAAAATAGTTTGTCATCGCGTCGTGATTGGCTTGCAATGGGGGTTTGACGAACTCATAGCCACTGTGTTGGTTGGCCGCTAGACAGTTGAGCCCGAGGTTGGTGATATTGTATTCAACTCACCCTGTCTCGTCGTAGGTATTCCTGTTCCTGGACTTGTTGCCATCGCCTCGCTCCGCTACTATGCTAATTTACCTTAACGATGGTAATGCACATACATGTCTTTAATCAACCAGCGTGATCCGTGTAAACAAAGTGTGTCCTGCACCGCCGCTGGGCGGTTATGAACTTGAGCCACACGCTGGCCAGTGCACAGTTGCATGGGGGCCCCCGTTGAAACACTTACTCCTCCTCATCCATCCTCATCCTCGCACTCCCTCTTCCTCCATGATATCTCTTCCGAGCTCGGCAGGACAGCCTGAGGCATGCCGGAGGCACCATTGGAAACGAAGAAAAGGCCAGACACAGCCGGAAGCCGCTGGATACCCCTGCAGCCCAGAGCCTGGTCTGCAGGGAGGGGGGAGGGGCAGAGGCTCTGCTCCCCCCCCACTGGAGACAGGATTCGGGGCCTGGCACTCGCCACGTTGGCCGTCCATAGGTGCTGAAAGGCCTCGCGGGGAATCGAAACGAGGGGCTGCACTAAATTCAGCTACCTGGCCGTCCCGTGTTCGGCCCCGGGCTCACCAGAATCCCATTTTCGGAACACGGCGCTTCCGCCCCCAGGGCCCCGGTATCATCGCCCTCGGCCCACAACGCGCCTTTGTAGCACCGCCCTCCAGCGGCAACCGCTTACCCCCACCCCCCGTCCACGAAACCATCCTTCGACCCCCGTTGCAATGTTGCACGGCTAAACACACATTGGACATCCTGACGCGCCAACCCCCTGGGAGGCAACGGGCGCACGCACATACACACAGTTGCAATCGGCCGTCACGCACGTGAATGTGGCTGGAACGTAGCTTCGACGAATGTTCGCGCGCGACACACATGTTATGAGTGGACCCCAGGTGGCTCGGCTCCCATGCCTTTGTTCGTCGCAGCGCTGTGCAGTCCTCGTTCGCCAGCTTCATGCCCCGATTAAAACAAAACACACCTGGCGACCGGCACACTCTGGACAAGCAGTGCTCATGTTCAACAATGACGTCAAGGCCCTCACTGATCCAATGTAATGCTGCTGGCGAATGCAATCCGCCACTCTCAGCATCTCTCCCTTGTAGTACAGAGGTGCACAGCACATCTAACTTAGACAAAACTGGGCATGTCGCGGAGCCTATTCCAAGCAAAGCTGTGTAGCAGATCGGCCTCGTGCAAAAGAAAGCACTTCCAAGGCACGCTGTGCCCTCGCAGCGACGTCGCCAGAACACTCGCACCTCGCTCAGACACGGAAGCTAGTTCTCGCTAAAGAGATGCTGCGCGATACATCCACATCACAACTAGCACGTGCGACAGTGTCGGCCGACATGACCAGCCCCTCCCTACAAGGTGACGACTAAAAGGCCAGGGTGCGAACCCTCGTCCAGCAAGTTGTAATCCTGAGCCTCATCCAGCCGTGGCGATGGGGGGGCGCCCGGGTCTGGCAGCAAGAGTACCCCAGAAGAGCCTGTACTAACATGGTTTAGCCTGCTATTCCTCGACAGCCCCCAGTCGCGAGGCGCATGACTCCTTGAAGGCCGATCGCTGCAAAAACACGTGAAGGCCTATTGTGTTCTCGGTGCGCTCTGCTTCTGAATAAAGGCACCACATGAGCAAACTTCAGCGCAAGCGATATCTATTTAAGGGAATGGGGACCAAAACGAAAACCTTGTGGACATGCAGGAGGGGGAGGAGGCCTATTAATGGGAGTGGGAGGAAGATGAGGACCCAACGGTGCGTGAATGAATGGCCACAGGGGCAATCTGTCTCGTCTGGATTCCCGACTGCGCCCTGGGCACGGAACGCGTTGGACTGTCCAGAACGCGTTAGACTGTCCATGCTTCTCTGGTGCCGTGCCCTTGGCGTCCCGTCCTTTCGGCGTGGGTGTGCAGTGCAACGAGCCACTTCGGAAAAGGCGAAGCTCTCGCCGTCCGAGGGCGTGCCGGGAGCTCCACAGAAATCCGATGCCTCTACTTTTTGAATTCGGGGTCCTTGCAAAACCCGACCCTTTCCTCGGGGCAGGATTTTCGTCTCGTCCCGAGTCGTTTTACTGTGCGGCCCCTGGGCGCAGCAGGGCCCTCAACGGCCGAAACCTGCCCCAGACCTGCCCACGTGGCCTTTTCATGACGCGGGCACGGGAGGCGGCGATCTATCCATATCCACCGCCCGTGGAACGGAGAACCGACGTCCTGGGGACCCAGCGGGCGATGGATACGGATATATTTGGGACCGCAGGGGCCAACATATATCCACATCCACCGCCAGAGGGGTCGCCGAACATCGATCCTCCAGGCGGTCGTTTTGTGTGAATCCCCGCCTCGTAAGGCCTGTCTCGGCCTCCTTGGAAAACGTCGGAATCAGAAGCCATCGGGATTGGGATCGAATCGAACCTGAGGAATCGAAATGAGCATTGCTTCTCGGCCTCCTCTGGCCCAACCCCCCATGAACATGCCATCGTTTGGACGTCCATTCCCCATGGACGTGTCGGTTTCCTGCGTGTCCTTTTTCGTGAGATGGTCCAGGGTGCTCCTCGATGGCCCTCGCCGAGAAAACGTACACACGTCCCAGCGATGCCAGGTGAGCAGGAGGCCGTCCAGAGCGACGGGCGCCCCTCTCCGGGGCGTTCGCGCGCTCCCGTGATGGGCCCGCAGCCGGGAGGCCCCCCGGAGGGCGGCGCGCCGGTGCACGCCCGCGCGAGGATGTACGGCCAGGAGGCCGGGCCGCGGAGCACCTGGAAGGGGGGAGGGGCCCAGACCCCCTCTGCCTGGCGCGCAGGGGCGGCGCTGGAGGCGCCGCAGGTAGACAAACGCGCTCCACGACCTGCAGTGTAACTACTCGCAAATGGACTGGATGCGCCGCGCGGGATCCACGATATTTATATATACACATATATATATACATATATATATGTGTATATGTGCATGTATATGTTTATCTATATATATATAGATTCCTTCGCGAGTGTTCTTGCAAGGAGAACCCCCCTCCCCCCCATACATTGAGAATTTCCGGTTTGGGAAGCCCCTCGGGGCCACCCTACGCCGCTCGGGCGGGCCCACGATCGCTTCCCGGACGGTCCCGCGGAGGCCCGAGACGGCCCAAGATCGTTCCAGAGCAGCCCATGGGCGCTCAAGGAGGGCCTAAACTGACTTCAAGTCGGATCAAGAAGCTACACATACATTTTCTGCGTATTCCCTTCTTTGGTCTTCAAAGCGTCCAAGGCGGCCTAGCCGCGCCCCAAGATCGCCCCAATGCGGCCCTAGAAATCCCGAAGAGAGCCCCAAGAGAACCCCAAAGAGCCCCAAAACGGCCCAAGACAGCCCCAAGACGGCCCACATGGAGCCCCTGAGAACCCCCCAAAGCTCACAAGACATCCCCAGAAGGCCACAAGAGAAGAAGGCATCAGGACGGCCCACGCCCCCCAGGACGGCACAAAGAAGGTCCCGCAGCGGGCCACGAGGGCCGCCAGACGGCACAAAAGAGCCCCAAACAAAGCCCCGCCAAGGCCCCGAGAGACCACACTCATTGATCTCCGCAAGGATGTATCTTAGATGCCTTGGCTATTCCTCTAGCGCCACGTTCATACCTTCGGCCCTGGGACCCCTTCATGAGCCCAATGAGCGCAACGGGCACTATGAGCCCTCTGAGCACGATACGCCCTTTGATCCCTATGATGCCTATAATCCCTTGTGTCCCATGAAACCCATGAAACCCAAGCCTACGAGTCCTATGCGCCCTATGAGCTCTATGAGCCCCATGAGCCATCTGCACCCGATGAGCCCTATGAGCCCTGTGAGCCCTATAAGCCTCATGAGCCCCATGAGCCCTACGAGCCCTGTGAGCCCGATGCACCCCACATGACCCCTATGAGCCCGATGGGCCCTATCAGTTCTCTGAGCCCGATCGTTTTGACGAGCCCTATGCACCCCATGAGTTTTATGAGCCCCACGAGCCCTATGAGCACCTCTGGGCCCTCTGAGCCCCATGAGCCCTATGAGCACTATGACCCATACGAACTCTACGATCCCTATGAGCCCCACAAGCCCTATGAGCCTCCTGAGCCCTATGAAACCTATGAGCCCCTCTGCGCCCTCTGAGCCCTCATGAGCCCTATGAGCCTCACGAGCCCCATGAGTCCTCATGAGCCCTACGCGCTGTGAGCCCCGTGAGCCCTATGAGCCACATAAACCTATGAGCCATATGAGCCCTATGAGCCCTGTGAGCCCTATGATTCTTACGAGTCCTATGCACACCATGAGCCCTCTGAGCCCTACGAGCCCCATGCGCCCCTCTGGGTCCCTCTGAGCCCTACGAACCCTACGAACCCTACGAGCCCTATGAGCCACATGAACCCTATGAGCCCTACGAGCCCTATGAGCAATATGTGCCAAATGAGCCCTATGACACTCATGAGCCCCATGAGCCAGCCCTACGCGCGCTGTGAGCCCTATGAGCCATATGAGCTCTATGCGTCCAATGAGTCCTATGAGCCCTATGACCCTTCCGGGCCTCATGAGCCCCATGAGCCCGATGAGCACTATGCCCTGTGAGCCCTGTGAGCCCATGAATCATCCGAGCACAATGAGCCCAGTGAGCCCTATGAGCCCTATGAGTCCCATGAGCCCGGTGAGCCCCATGATGCCTATGAGCCCTCTTAGCCCGATGAGCCCTGGGAGCCCTTTGAGCCCTATGAGCCTCATGAGCCCCATGAGCTCTATGAGCCCGCATGAATCCCATGATATCTATACGCTCTATGAGCCCCTTGAGCCCTATGAGCCATATGAGCCCTATGAGACTCATGAGCCCCATGAGCTTTATGAGACCTAATGAGTCCAATGACACCTGTGCGCTCTATGAGCCCTATTTGCCTTACGAGCCATATGAAGCCTCAGAGCCCTACGAGCCCTATGAGCCCTATGATTTTAATGAGCCCTAGCAGACCCACCAGAAGACCCCCAACTATCGGCCCTATCAGCCCCACGGGCCCCACGAGCCCTGCGCACTACGAGCTTCCGAGCCCATTCAGTCTGACGAGCCCTCTGTGCCCAATGACCCGCACGCCCCTGAGGCCCTCAGATACCATCTGGGAGGGCTCGTGGGGCTCTCTCCGAGGTTTCTCCACGGCCCCATGGCAGTTGTCGTGGGGCTATCCTGGAGACTTCTCCAGGGACCAAGAGAGGCCTAGGAAGAGCCCCACAAGCGCTGCAAGAGAACCCCCCAATTACTGCATGATCATGTAATGCTCTTCGGCCGCTCTTGGGGTCTTCTTGGAGCTCTCTTGGGCTCGCTTGGGGCTCTCTCGGGGTCTTCGCCGAGCCCCAGGCACCTCACAAGTAGCCCAAGAGCGGCCCCAAAAAGCCACATGATGGCTCCAAGAGAGGGACCCCGCACCCGGCATTTTTCAGCAGCTGTCAAAATGCCGGGCGCGGGGCCCATATGGAGCCGCTCTTGGGACCTTCTTGGACCCTCTTGAGCTCGCTCGGGGCCCTCTCGAGGCCTTCTCCGGGGCCCCCAAAACGGCCCAAGAGCGGCCCCAGATGGCCCGAAGAGACCCCCAGCACCTGGTCCAAGGGGCGTCTCGGTGCCGTCTCGGAGCCACTTTCGGGTCAAGCGTTCACCAAGTCGGGCGAGGGGGGCTTTCTGAGCCAGACGAGCCGCAAGAGCCCTGTGATCACAGACGAGCTTTATGAGCCACACGAGCCCTATGAGCCCCATTGACGAGGCGCACCGCGGCAACGACGACTGCCCGTCCCAACGCGCCTGTCTGGCGCCATGCGACCAATACTTTAAAGGCGAAGCGAAGCGAGCCGGTAATATGTGTGTATACAATACACACATATATATATGTGTATATATATATATATATCATCGGTGCAGACCGGTGTTTGTTTCTCGGACGTTTGCGAGTAGGCACTTTGCGAGAAGTGGAACGCGCTCGGTGAGCAAGGGGGGCCCAGGCGCCGATACGAGAAATCCGCGCGGACCGTCGAAAGAAGGCCAGAGTGCTTCAGAGAAGCCCCGCCGCCTTCTGCGAAGACCTGCCCCCCTTCGGACTTCTCCCCTCGGCGCTCCGCCGACTCATGCTGGCACAGACGAGAGGGGGCCAGACCCCCTCGGGCCATGAAGAAATCACGACGGGCGGTTTTTCACAACTTTCAGCTTCTGGGGGCTTTTCCTGGGCCTCGAGAGCGTCAAAGAGCGACTCAGGATGAGAAAACCGGTCGCGGGGAAGGGGTTGAGACCTCTGGGGGTCGGCGCTATGAAACAATCATGACGTCGGGGGTCTGGAGGGGCCGGGGGCGCGTCGTTGTTGCCCAGCTCCGCGGTCCTCCCTCCCCTCGCCTTCCTGTCCGCGGTCGTCTGGCTGCGGTCGGGAACTTTTGCTTGGCGTGTCGCCCCGGTGACGCGCCATGCCTTGCAAGCGGATGGCGTGTCGCTCCGCCTCGCGGACGGGGCTGGAGGCTCGGAAAAGCTCAGGACGTGGACGCCCGGGACGGGGAAGTGAATACAGTGGGGGCCCATGCCAAGAAACACCCTGCTTGCCTCAAGGGTGCCCTGGGTTTCTTGGGTTCCGATGGCTTTGATGTGGAAGGCGCGACGCTTCCACACCACAGATCGATGGACGTCCTGGGGTCTCAGGGTTGGGTTTCTTGTGGAAGGTTTCTTGTGGACTGGCCTCCACTGTAGCGTGTCGCTCCAACGCGCGGTGGGCCAGAACCGGCGGAGCGACACGCAGTCCAAAAAGTCCCGACCGTGTTCATATTCGCGTCCGCCTGGCGGTGCTGGTGGGCACGGGTGCTCAACCACCGTCATCGGGCCCCCCAGCAGGCGGCAGCAGCAGCGGCGCCCAAATACCTACAATAAGCATGATGCAATCGTCGCAGTCACCAGAAGGGGGGTGTCTGCCGGTCTTGGACTCGGCATTGCAGCAGTCTGCGCACCGCCTTGCTGAAGGCTCTCACCCCGAGAGCCCAGGGGAACACTCCTGTTCTGACCGTTCCCCAGCCCCTCCCGGGGAGGGAGGCCCAACCCGGAGTCCCCGACGGCCCGAAACACAGAAACGGGAAGGCGGCGGACGGCGCGAAGCGCCAGAAAAACGACGACGCGGAAAACAAAGAAAGCAACGGCAATGCGGAAAACAAGTGCGGAGGGGAGGGGAACGGGGAGGAGGTGGAGGAAGGACACAGGATCGAAGTAAATAGATTACTGTTGAATGTCGGCAGGCTCTTTTGCGCTTCCCAGAAGCTTCCCGCGGCCACGGCTGGGCGCAACTTATGGACTTGGCCGGGATGGACCCCATTATAGGTATGAGGGGATGATGTCGAAGGGAGGCCAATCCTACTCCTCCAATCCCTCCTTCTGCACCGTCCTCTCTCCTTCCCCCCTCCCTCCTCTCTCTACTCCCCCCTCCCCGCTCCACCTCTTCCCCCGCGCGCGAGGAGAAGGAACGAACGAAACATCGAGTGCGTGCCTGAGATGGCTACACTAGCAGTGCACCAGGACTGACCCTTGCAACCGAAGACTTCGGGACAAACCCGCCCAAAAAGGACGTAGGCAACCTGAGGGGGCAGGAGGCAGAGGAGGGGGAGATAGACGGGGGAAAATGGGTTTCCTGCGTGCACGCGCGGCGGACGCAGGAACTCGGAGCGAAAGGTATTGCGCGCCGTTGAGATCTGGACAGGCAGCGCAGGGATTTACAACGGTTCGCCAAACTTGCGAGATGGGGGCCGGGGGTGGGAATGGGGGCGAACCAAGGAGAGCCAGGGTGGGGACGGACGGCTGCTCCTGGCATCCTGACTTGGCGAAGGCTGAAATATGACGTCCATGTTTCCCTTCGTGCGCGCGCGTAGGCTTGAATGCCCACGTGTGCACGACGGAGGCTGTGCGTGAACAGCGCCACGTGCTATCATAATATGAACGGCAAGCCAAATAATGCGCATAATTGCAGAATCCTCATTCCAATCTGCTTCCCGAAAGCTGTTATCTTGGTGGGCTTGTGCGACCACACAATATAAAAAAGGTCTTCGCATGTTTCGAATGTGTTGGGCGAGAAGGGCACACGACAGGCAGTGCATGAGCCTTCTGCACAAGTTGCTGGGGCATGCCTCGGCAAGTTTGGTGTAAACTAATGGTGGGTTCTCTCTTCCCATTGTACATGGAGGGGTGCAAGAGCTGGTGCAACTTCCCCTCGTTTTGAATTGGCAGATCACCAATCCGAATCGGACGTTACACGTGCAACTTTGAACTGGGTTCGCCTGCGCCACGGGGTTCCGTTTATTCCCCAATCAGAGCTTGCTTCTGTAGGGGTCCTAGCGGATATAAAGCTGAGGTGAGGTGAGCGGCCGATTTCGGTGGCCGGGGCCGGGTGCCCGGGTGCCCGGGGGTGCCCGGGTGGCCGATTTCGGTGGCCGGGCCAGGGTGCTGACCAATAGCCCAATAGCCCAGTAGCCCTATAGCCCTATAGCCGTATAGCCCTGTAGCCCTATAGCCTTATGTCCCTATAGCCCTAATAGCTTATATCCCTATAGCCCCATAGCCCATATAGCTCTATAGCCCCATAGCCCTATAGCCCTATGGCCCTATAGGTCACAGTCCTATAGCCCTATAGCCCGATAGCCCAACAGCCCGATAGCCGTATAGCCCTATAGCCCTAACAATAATCTGATTGGGTTTTTCTCCGGTATCGTATAGAAGTCCGTGACTGAGGCCACCCGGGACTGCTCGGGTGGCTTGTTGAGGCCTGCCAGGATTAACTCCCAGGGCTGCTTTCTGCTCCCCCGAATATCCTGTGCTGTTGGATCCTCGTTTTGAATGCGCAGCGCCGCGCGCAACCTTCCCATCCCGCCTCCCCGTAATCCCGCCTCCTCCTCACCTTCCTGCCCCGTTCGAATTTCGCGACATCCCTCACACACTCCGTGCCCCCAGAGGAAGTTCCACTTTCGACCCCAGGGGGCGCAGACGCATGCGAGCCCGCGCGCGTCTCGGCACACCCCTCCACGCAGACCGTGGGCCTATAGGGAGCAACAACGCCTGCGGTCTGAGCGGATGCAGACCCGCGCGGGCGGGCGCCCACGGCGACACGCCCCCTCTGCAGATCGTGCCCCGCAGGGATGCCCACCCACGGCCGCATTGGGCGCAGACGCCTGCGGGCCCGCGCCCATCTTGGTGTGCCCTTCGCTTCCAGGCGCCGCGCCTCTGCCGATCCCTGCGCCGTGTGCCTCGGCGGGCCCGCCCTGCGGCAACAAGGCCCAGGTCCTCGCGCACGGGGGCGCCGCGGGGCGGGCCGCAGCGGGGGGCAGCAGCGGAGGGAAGGGCGGGGGGGGGTGGGGGGGGGGGCACGGCGGAGGGGGAGGGGGGGGGGGGCCGCGGGCGCGGGGGGCAGCAGCGGAGGGAAGAGGGGGGGGGGGGGGGCACGGCGGCCGGAGGGGTCAGAGGACGCAGGGGGGCCATCGGCAGGGAGAAGGCAGGACCGGTGGGCGTTTTGGGGGGGGTCGAGGAGGAGCCAGGGAAGGGGGGCCATGGGGGAAAGTGAGGGAGTGCAGAGGGGCGGGGGGGGAGGAAGGGGCAACACGAAGGCGCGGGGTAACCGAGCAGGGAGGTAAGTAGGAGAGGGGCGGTGGAAGACGGATGAGGAAGAAGGGGGGTGGGGGGATGCACCGAAAACTGCTTCAGGACAAACGCGAGAAGAGGCGCGGGAAGAGATGCGGAGGGCGAAAGGGGAAGGGGACAGGGCGGAAGGGCGAGGCGGGAGGGGACACGGGAAAGCGAACATGAAACGGGCGACGGGTGAGGGACAGCTGTACCAACGGAGAAACGTAAGATGAACATGAGAGTGGACTGCGGAGCGGGAGAGACGGTGAACACGCGCGGCACCGCTCACGCCGCATCGCTCGCAGAGCATCACGGCCATGGCACTGCGCACGCGACACCACTACACATCGCGGCACGACCAGCGCCTGCGCAATCGCACGGCCACTGCTCGCAGGGGGTGTGCGCCATCGGCACAGACGGAGGCCCCTCCGCCACACGAGACATGCGAAAGGGCCTCGCAGCCAAGCGCGAGCCAGGAGGGAGGCGCCCCTCACAGAGCTGCCTCAACAAGGCCAGTACGAAGGCGAAGAAGCGGGCGGATGACAAAATGCATGGGGCGTGTAAGAAATATCACGGGCCCCACAACCACTGATGATGGATCCCTTCCATTCAATGGAGCTTCGATTCCCAGAGTGCGAGCTTTCCCCCCGGGAGGTGCGTTGTTAGTCAAATGCTGCATCTGGAACCCTCCCAACGGCGCCCCATCGAAGCAACAACCGAATCGTAGACTAAGGATCGCTGCTCTCGGGCTGAGCGCGCGGCACCCCGAATGGGCTGAGCAATCCATCGACCTGGCGGGCAGGGCGCAGGCGGAGAATGGGAAAGCAAGCGGCAAAGCGATAAGCCCGACGACGCTACGTCGGCCCCGCAATGCGGGCCAGCCATGCTCTCCGACTCTCCGCGCGCACGTGGCCCTCCTTTTCTTCCGACTTCCCAACCTCATCCCAGATCCGTGTACTCCTCGCCGCCTCTCGTACACCCTTCCCCTTTTTCCTCCCTCCTCCTGTTCCGGTTCCTGTTCCTGTACCTGTTCCTGCTCCTGTTCCATCTCCTCCGATAAGAACCTTCCCGTAATGTCGTTGCTGATCTCGATCCTGTCAGGCGCCGTCACTGAACGGTCCTCGTGGTATCCCAGGCTCGAGTCTGCCAGCTGCTCGTATGCTTCTGCCTGGTGGTAGGTGTTCGAGGCCCGTCGGTCGGTCTCGTGGGGCCTGGGGCCTGGGCCCGAATGGGTCTCCGCCGTTTGAAATGTATGAGGTCTGTGCAGGCCCGCGCTGCTCGAGCCAGCACAGGAAGGGGCGCATACAGGCGAGCGAACGTTGGGGCAGGGGGGGGGGAGGCTCGCGGGTTGACTTCGTCGCAGGGCTCCAGGCCCTAGAGCACATTGTTGCCGAGAGTGTGGTTCAAGGCGGTGCAGGTCGCCAAGCCATTTTGTTTCTTGGGCAGTGGCCCAGCTTGCTGCTGCCCGGGAGATACTGGACGCGCGGCTCCAAGAGCGCCAACTCGAGTATAGGAACGCCCCGCCCTCTCGGCCTGACCGCCTGGACCAGTTGCTCGGTTTCCAGGAGCATGAGTTTGGCAGTCTTGGTCCTGGCCAGCAAGTGTGTAAACGGGTGTTCAACCCGATCCTGGACTACTGCGACGGCCAGGTTTCTCACCCGTGGCAGTGGATGTCGTTGAACCCCCTCGGTGCCAGCAGGGCTAAGCCAGCTCTTGAGGCTGGAGGTAGGTTCGAGGCGGCCACCCCTATCGCCTGTTCAGATTCGATCGTGACGGCGGTAGCTGCGGCTGCTGAGGCGCTGGCTGGTTCGGAAGGCGTGGGCCCTGGGGACAGCAAGGGAGCCTCCGAGGAGGCGTCGGGTTCGGGGCAAAGCGGTGGCTTCTGGCCCTCAGGCCACCGAACGGGACACAAGGCGCCGCTCGCTTTTTGTGCTCGCTGTCGTGCCTCTTGCTCTTGGAGGTCAGCGCCCCCAGGGAAGGCCATATTCAGAGGCGTTCATCGCTCGGGGATGGACAGAACCCCCTTGAGCAAAACGTGGTTTAGTGAAAACGACCCTGGGCCCAAACCTGGCTGGCGCATGCCTGGAAAATGACGGCCGCGGCGCCTTCTCGAGGCCCGAAGACGGACAATTCACTACTCGACGAGTCAGGGTGGGGATTCTGTCCACCCCCGGATCGCTAAGGGCTCTGTGGAGGCCCTGGGCCCTATCCTTGCCGGGAGGCGCCCCCACACTGGGCCTCCCTCTTCTGAGGTTCTGCTTCGGGGCAGTCTGCGTGGCGGGCCCACGGAGGTCACGCCGTGCTTCCATTCCGTCCGAGCGCTGGCGGGTGACCAGCTGGCGCATCGATGTGTTGTGTCGTTATACCCTTACCCCTCCTCTGTGCAGGAGCCCACCAATCAACCCGGGCATCTACAACTACTCCATCTGAATGCTACTTTCCCCTCTCTTCCCTGAAGTTGTCCGTAAGATCTCTCGCCCCCATCCGCTTCCTGTTTTTCCCTACCGTTCTGCGGTGTTGGGTTCTCGTTTTGATACAGCAGCGCCCCGCGTCCACTCCTGTCCTCCTTCCCCTCCTCTCTCCTGCCTCTGCCCTGGCACACCCCTGTAACGCTTTTCAAATTCCACAGCAACCCCACGGAAGGCCGAAACGAAACACATCGCATGCGGTCGTGGGCTTATTTCGCTCGCCCTGGCCACGCTTTTCAGGCCCCAGATCAGCCTCACAGAAGGCCGACACGAAAGTCCGCATGCCTCCCAAGAGGGCCCCAAGAGGGCCAAATCATCGATTTTCCCTTAGTCGTTGAAGGATTTTGGCGGTCTCGCCTCTTCTGTTCTCCGACGCTCCCAGACGGCCCGAGAGGCCCCCAAGACCACCCTAAGACGGCCCAAGAGGTTTCCAAGAGGGCCCGAAGACGGCCCAAGAAGCGCCCAAGAGGGCCCCAAGATGGCCCCCAAAGGGGCCCAAGAGAGGGAACACGAACCGACAATCCGAGCCTTCCGCCCCAAGGGGCGCCCAGGAGGCCCCACGAGGCGACGGGGAGGACCCACGAGGCGCCCGAGAGGCCCACCCACAAATTACCAAGCGGAAGCGGAAGCGGAAGACCGCCATCGCCCGGAGGCGGCCAAGTGGCGGGCGACGGGCACGCGTGGCGTGCAGGCCCTCCAAGAGGCCCCCGAGAAGCCTCCGACGAGATCCCAACGAATATCTAATAGGCCTCACACCCGCAACCCAGGCATAGTTCTCGCAGGTCTCACGGGCCCCACGTGTTCGCAGGTCGCCCCACAGGTCCTGCAGGTCCCACCTGTTCCACAGGTGTCGCAAGTCTCGAATGTCCCACAGGCCCCACATGTCCGACAGGTCCCGCAGGTCCCGCAGGTCCCACAGGTCCCACAGGTGCCGAATAACTCACACGCCCTACAGAGGTCCCCCTGGTCCCACAGGTCCCACACAGGTCCCACAATTCCCATAGGTCCCACAGGTCCTGCAAGTGTCGAGGCCAACGACGGCGGGGTCTTCTGTGGAGTTCCAGGTCGGATATGACACGCGTCCGCGGATAGAGAACAAATCGGCGCAACGAGAACATATGAAAGGGAGGGGTATGATGTCAGATGTGGCGCGAGCGCGCCTAGCTTGCCTCGTCCTCCCCTCTGCCACCTCCCTCCTCTGCTCTCCTCCACCTTCACCATCCCTCTCCTTCTCCGCCTCCTCCTTGCAGGAGCCCACCAGCTACCCCGGCCTCCTCGTCCCGTCCTCCTCCTCCTCCTGCTCCTCCTCCTCCTCCTCCTCCCTCCTCTTAAACAAATCCTCCTCCTGCTCCTCCTCCTCCTTCTCCCCTCCACCTGCTTTTTCTCCTCCCTCCTCATTTCCGTCTGCGCCCCTAGCTCCTCTTTATATTCGTCTTCTTCTACCTCCTCAACCTCGGTTTTCCCATCTCTCTTTCCCGATCTGGCTAGATGATTTGTATTCTGTGATTCCTATAAGCCTCACTTCCCTCTCCTCCCTTTCCACAACTGATGTCCCTTCACCACCTCCCCTAATGGCATCACTTACTCCTCCTATGAACCTTGTGATGCCGTCCACACTGATGGTCTCTGCTGTTATATGTCAATTCCCTTTCGCATCGCACTCGCCCAGCATGTCGTCAAGGCATGCGCGTGTTGTTGGAACTTCTCACCTTGCATGCTCCAAAGCTTGATTGGCGTGTTGAGGATACTCATTTGCACCGTGCGGGATTCTGCTCTGGCCAGACTTCGCCATGGCATACACAAGCAGCGCAACTACTGCAACGCTGGGTACATGAAACGCCGCGCTTACATGCATGGATGAACTGGACGTTCTGCTTCGCTCTTTTGCTCTGTTTCGAACTGAGCTGCGAAGTGTTATGTTGTCGTTACTTGCACTTCGTTGAACTGGTGAGGCTAATGCCTTGCATTTGGTCTAGTGCCGTGCATGGCTTAAACTTGCACGACGCTTACATTCCATTGCGCTCTACTAAGTGGCATGTGTCCATTGCGCTGCGTTTTTCCACGGCATCATGTTGTATTGCGCTCTGCTATTAAGAAACGGGTCCTCGACGAATAGAGGGGGAATTGCACTACGGACGCATCATCAAGAAATCAGATCTTGAGAATCAACCGCCGCCAACCAACTTGTTCGAAACACCGTAGGGGCCCTTACACACAACATCTGCCCGAGAAGCTCCGAAACAACAGGTCGACTTGTCCGCACCGTGAATCCGCTGTACCGAAGCAGGTTGAGCAAACAATGCCCCAATAATCGGCAACATGCGAAACTTTCGACATACAACATCTGTGATGACAGGCATGCCCTCGTGATTTTGATGGCATCCTCAGCTGTTCACGCAGGAACTCCACGACGACAACGCGAAACACAATGCAACAATCACGTTGAAAACAAACCACGATCGGGTACGGCGCCCTATCTTGAATCCACACCCTACCCAATGGACGCCTCCCCAACTAACGCACCGTGATGATAGCACATTCCCTGAAGTCGCTGACATGCACACGACAACGGCAGGACACAGTGCCACGAATCCTGTAGGTTTCGCCCCCAAGGTCTACGTCTCACAGGGACGGTCGTTTCAGGGCGCCCGAGCTGTCGAATGGGCGCTTTGTGCGGATGAAACTGGAAATCACTCCGCATTCAATTCTCGGCTACGTAGACTCGGGTACGGGGGACTCAGGTTGGCCTGGCGGGGCCATCATAAAAATGACGAGACCCAATCTGAAATTTGACGCGAACTCCCGCTGTAAACATCCCACAAACAACCAGACCGTCAAAATCCAGGACGCAATCGTCAAAAATTTTCGGGCAACCCGAGTTCCGGCTTGCTCGAAACTTTCGTTTTCCCGACTCTGGGACTTTGAGACGACACTCCTCGTGCCACCATTATCCTTCGGCTGCTGCCCTTCTCCTTCCACCCTCCTTTTGGCCCCCGCAGCCGCTGCCGGCAAGGAAGGAATGGCCTTGAAGCCGCAGGCCAGCGTGGAGAACAGGTAGGTCGAGGCGAAGCCACCAGTGACCTTCGCAACTTACGTAGTTCCGCAAACAGAAGAAATCTTCGGTAGACCACTTGGTCGCTTCGGAAGGCAAGTGCTAAAGTCAAGGAGTCGGGTTGCGGTTTTGGGCTCGGTCTCTGCAATTGCGGGGCGGTCCTTTGAAGGAGTGGGTAGGGCAATCCAAAAGTTCGTCGAATTCCAAATCATTTATCATATTCAATACTGCATCGCTTTGTGTACCAATAGGTGCAGCGTGGATACGTAAACTGGCCCGGTAGGTGGCACATTGCTGCGAAGATGCGGCGTCTAGAGAGGAGGAGGACGGCTTCAAACACATCGGCTTTAGAGGTACCCTCCACCGCGTCCTCCATGCAACCCATTCGCATGTTAACAAGAACATCGCTCCAATACTCTTGTATGGAACACTTCAAGACACTCTGGAAATGCCGAAGGGAGATGGCACCCATCTTACATGAATGCATCGCTGGTGTTTCAAAATTTGTCGCAAAATTGCTTTCCGCAACCAAGGAAAGAAATACGGAGTATAGGCCCACAATCGGATTCTTGGTCGGACTACGACGGCCCAAGCTGACTTGCAAGCTTGGCTCAAGATCGCCTCCAGCATGATTCACAAAACGCTTCGAACTTGCTGCAAGATGGCTTCCATGGCGACCGGAGGCATGCCAAGGATGCCGCCAGGAGGCCAGAACCATTGAAACATTGTGAGATCGGCGCGTGGACCCCTCGCAGTCGAATCGCAAGGCTCATGAGGAAACGACTAGAAGCAAATGGCAAACGTCGGGGAAGGTGTGCCGGGACCGAGGCCAGGTCCGAGACGACGGGGACAGCCAGGGACACGGTCAGCCAGCGGAGTCGGCGGTGGCCGACGGCGGGACCAGGTCGAAATCAACCAGGGGCGCGGCCAAGTGTGTTCCCTAACCTAGGATCAGTTCATACTGCCGAAACAGAAAACTGCCGCCCCCCCTCCCCGCGCCCGAGAGCCTGTGACTCTGCTTTGAGGGAAATAAGCTATGGCATGAAACTACTCTGGCGGAAAGACCCGACATGAGAATCTGTTTAGTTTGCCTGAGGATCTCCCCTTGCCTCCTCCTCCTCCTCCTCCCCCTCCTACTCCTACACCCTCCTGCTTCATTCTCCTCCTCTTGCCTCATCCTCCTGCCTCCGCCTATTTCTGCCTCCTCCTCGTCCTCCATTTCCTCCTCCTCCTCCTCCTCTTCGTCCTCCTCCTCCTCCTGCTCCTCCTCCCCGTGCCTCCTCCTGCCTCCTGCCTCATGCCTCATGCCTCCTCCTGCCTGCTGCTTGCTGCTTGCTGCTGCTGCTGCTCCTCCTCCTTCTCCATTTCTTCCATTTCCTCCTCCTCCTCGTCCTCCTCCTCCTCCTCCTCCATGCCATCCTACTCCTGCCTCCTCCTCCTCCTCCTCCTTTTCCTCCTCCTCATCCTCTCATCCTCCTCCTCCTCCTCCTCTGACTCTCTCTCTCTCTCTTTCTCTCTCTCGCTCTCCTCCTCCTCCTCCTCTTCCTCCTCCTCATCATCATCCCAATTCGCTTCCTTATCCTCCTCCTTCTCCTGGTCATCTCCGTGCCCCCCCCCCCTCCCGCGTGTTCCCAAACAAGTTTCCACAAGGCATGGGAAAACATATAGTCCAATAGCTTAGCCAAGCTCTGGCCCAAACTTTGGCCACCTAGGCGTTGCCGACAGGCAGGGGTCGGCGGAGGTTCGCAACAGGCGTCTTCGATGCATGATGTCAAACGATGCGTTTCACAAGGCGCGTATGGCCACACACGAAGACATATGATGCGCCACATTTCGACATACCAGAAGTTACGCAGCCCGTGGCCCCGCCTGCAGAAGCGCAGTTCGTTCTTCACTTCCAACTGGCACGCAAGGTCGCGTGATGTAGACACCGTGGACGAGTGCTATCAAGACCTCGGCAAGAGATGGAACGCGGCATGCGTAGAACATACTCCTACCAATGGAGGCCAGCGAATGCCCACCCAACCGGAATTACCACTCAATGTTGGTCTCACGTAGGAGCTGCACGGGAATATCTGCATACACTCCCTGCGCATAGACATTGACGCTCGCACGAACATGTCATCAGACTGCAACTTGTTGACCCAGGTGCCTCTAACCGTACACACGATACCGACGCGCTAATGGGCTGTCATGGCAACCAGCATGTGAGACGAACATGCTTGCGAAGCGTGTTGCTTTTGCTGCGCAAATCCCTACCCCATCCCCGTGAGGGAACGCTGAGGCATGGCACCAGCGTCGCCATGGTAGTACATAGGAAATCCAAGAACTGCGCCACAAAGAGAAGCATCCCCAGACCTTGGCTGCATGGCACCATGGCGAAAGGATTATTGCAACATACGTCGATCGCTTTCTGCGGGTCATGGTGCGCTTTTTGTGCGAACCCATGAAATAATACTCTCGAACATGCCGGCGGCGATGGATTCAAGCGCAGGCTCGTCGCAGACATGTCGACTACCTTCAAAGGACCTGGATCGTGCCCACGTCTGGCCCCTCGCAGAGCCAACTTTCAAGCAATGCTACCCTCACGTCCTGACAATGTTTAAGCAATGTGGGACAACCCAACGTGCCCGCGATCAGATCGGCGAGCGGCCGTCGCCAAACGTCAGCGACTGCCTCAGACGACCTCTCCGGGTACCTGCATCTGAACAACAGCTGAAATAATTGTGCGGTGCACTCAGAGGCTGGTGAAGCACGGTCGTAGGCGCAGGGGTTCTTCATAGTCCGATACTGGAGCGCTACATGAGAGCAGCAAAATGAGACCTCCTGGCACAGCGCACTACTCATCGCTTTGTAAGCCCCATGTGGCCGATAGGGCTCAACGGTCGCCTAAGGCAACAATCCGATTCCATCATGTTTGCGTCATGCTTAATCCGCTAGCGGGTCGGATTTACGAGGTGGAGTGCCACCATGTTCCCTGTTCTGAGCCCCAGCCCCTTGATTCCAGGGCCTCCTGTGTGGTCTTGCCAAGACGTTCTGAGAGTCCCCCTCAATATCGCCCCAAGATGGCCGCCGAGCCAAGAGGGACCCAAGAGGCCTTCAAGACGGCCTTAAAATTGGGAGCTCGAATGCGTCTCAGAAGCCCTCGCCCCGCATATTACAGGCGCACAAAAGGAACCGAAAGGGTGGTCCGCGACCCAGGCACGGTGGCGGGATGGGCCTAAAATCATTTGATCCGCCGCCGAGTGTGGTCTTGCCACAGGGGTGCACGGCGTGCTGGACGTCCGGGACTTCTTTTCCCGCTCATTGCCCAAAGCGCCTCCAAGACTGCCTGAATGGTCCAAGATGGCTTCCAATATGCATCCGAGACGGCCAAGATGATGACACAAGACGGCGTCCAAAACGATCTCGAAATGACCTTCCCTCCAAGACGGCCCAACAACCCCCTGATACGCCCATTTTATCCCCCAAAACGCCCCAGTCGGGCTCCAAGAATACTGGCGCCCATTATAGTGCTCTAGTTAATTGTTTTGGAACCCCCGACGCACCAAACGGGTCCAGAATCCCCGTAGATCGTCCCAAGACGGCCAAAAAGGCGCCCAAGAGGCCCGCAAGACGGCCCCAAGACAGCCCTCAAAGCTGCCCCTGAGATCTCAAGCGCCCAAAGAGGGGCCCAAAACTGCCCAAGAAAGGCCCAGGACGGCCTCCGAAGGCCAGGAAGCCTCCCAAAGACCAGCGAGAGGCCCCAGAAGACCCCCAACAGGCCCCAGAAGGCCTCCAATACGCCCCGCATAACCACCCAGTAGTTGTTGGCCCCAGTGGCCTTCGAGTGAAGGGTTGAGGGCTTGGCCATGAGGTGATAGGCTGAGAACCCTACTCTTAGGATAACGTCGGCGACGTACCGAAGCATCCCACAACTCATCCCTTGGTGGCAAGCAAGACGAGGGACAGGAGACAAGTCATGAGAGCTAGAAATGTATCATTGATAGACGTGGCCGTTGCCTGATGCAATGAACCGGATAGAGTTACACTGCCTTGTAACTAGCAAGCAGGGCTGTGCAACCTTAAGCCAAAACTGCTGCGGGTGTAGCGTTCGCTATGCAGCCCCGCCTTACACCTTGCGTAAAGTCGGGGGGGGGGGGGGGGCGCTAGATCCAAACCCAAGTTAATTAACCAAGCAGAGAAGGCAAGTCGGGTTTTGTTTGTTCTCTCTCCCTTTCTTTTTAAAATCATATATATATATATATACATATGTATACATCTATATATATAAAGCCTCCCAAGAGTGCAGAAGCAATGTAAACACAAAGAGCACAAAGTATCAGGGCCGAGCAAGGGCAAACACTCTTGAACGGCCGCAGATCATCGTGGATGGTCACGGGCAAGACCGCGTGACCATCCGCAGATAATTAAGAGGGGCGAGTGGCCAACTACCAGCCGTCAAAGCGTGCGAAGCGGGAGGGCGCCCGACCAAACTGTCAGGTCCCCTCAGAAAGAAAAGAAGTGCCCGTGTCCAGGCTAGCCTACAACATATAGGCGTAACATGCCCGTTGCTGGGCATGGCTGACTACATGTAAGTAGTTAAGTCGCCAACCGCATACCTATCCGCTAGCCCTGCATAGGGCACCCTTACGCCGGTGCTCTCTTCATTACTCCGGTAGGGCATGTACTTCTGTACCTCGTATGTAAAGGACTGATTGCCTTCCATAACTTGCAGCAGTAGAGCCCGATCCACGCGCCCTTTCGTGTTCCCATCTGCGGTCATGTCTCGCGCATCGCACCACCGTGCGCCATGAGCGATACCTCGGTGCATCATTTGCCTTTTCCAACTGATGCGTCCCATCAGGGCACATTCAGCCGGCTTCTTCCAGTCCTTACTTGACGACGATTTGAAGACCGACTGAGCGCCTATGGTAAGGGTGGCCTTAATGCTGAAACCACCTAACTCGAATGGTTTGTTGTATAAAAAGTGTAGGCGATATAGGGTCCAGCTTTAAGCTCGTGTAGCGTAACTAACCATGGTGGGGTAGCAGTCTTCAAGGTAACCGGCTGCTGCTAGTGTTTCAGCTGAATAACTGGAACGTGCCTGCAAGCGGTGTGTCTTGCAGCGTGCGTCGATCAGCTGTACTACTGCCTTGCCGTTAGGCGCGCGTCCGCGAAGAAATGCTATGCCCTTTTACTTCGTCATCTTCGTCCCCGCTAAGGCGGCGATATCCGGAGTCGCTGTCAAGGTCCACCTCTCCTGCCGGAGTCATGAGATGATATGCGATTTTCTGTGGGCCGTGCTGGAGCTTGCGCGTGACAGCGTTATGTCTTCGTACTTGGGGGTTCGCATGTTCTGGTGCTCGTTGCAAGGGTACCACGTGCGCCATAGACCTCGCATGAGTGATTAATGTATGCGCTAATGCGCCACGTGAACAAATGAACATGTCGGGCACTGTCTTCGTCGCCTCTTCCTCGGCTACAGCGCCCGTTGGTTCTGGGCGCTGTATAGGGCGAAGCTGATTGATGTATCCATTATGATCAAGCTGGGCGCGGTAGTCCTCGGTCTTCCTGTAGCGCGCGGCGCAGCTAGTATAGCAGTGTTTATTCAATTAACATGCGCCGAACGTATTTTCCACACATTTGACATACTTGTCTATACAGTCCTCCTTTCTTGCTATGTTTATGTCGTCGACGTGCTTGGCGGTTGAGAGGTTTGGGCTTGTCTCATATTCTACATGTTATGACTGGATTTTAGCCTAACGCTTCCCGCGATGGTCCTGAGCTTCATTGAGAATGCCCCAAGGGCATCCTTTGCACCTGCGGAACAACGATGTAACTTGTCATGGGGCGAGAAGTCGGGCAGCGCGCGCAACGCCGAGGCTGCGCCGCGTGGAAGGGCAAATCAAACCGCGCGCGTTTCCTCCCCAGTGGCCTCTGCCAGTTCACGATATGCCGGGCCCTTTCAAGGAAGCCTTGTCGACATCCACCGGAGCTCAAACCCATGGTTTCTTGCGCGCGGCCCCGCTAGCGAGCGGTCTCTGACTGGCTCGACGAGCGGTGCCTGAGAAGGTTTTCGCGTCGAATGCTTCGAAGCCCGTGGAGCCCCGAAGGACAAGACGTAAACGCATGGTTCGTTCCATGTCGCCTTTGCCGTTCTTGACAAACCCCACTTGTGCGCGTGCCTAGAGGCCTAGGTGTCATGATGTTGGCGACAGTTTTGATCCCCTGCATCTTCATGAATTTGTTGTCGTATCATATATTGAATGTTGTGTGCGCGGCTTTGGATATCTTAGTCGGGTTGGCCTGGGTTTCTGCCCTCGTCAGGAGGTCGTCTTCTCTGGCGACCGCGACTCTTTCAACTGCGGCTGAGACATGCGCGCGCGTCGCGAGTGCGCGGCCTTCGCGCAGCGACTCGCGCCGTTGCTCTGACAGGGCAACTTTGCTCCTGTCAGTTGCGAAGCACAGCCCAACATACTAACCGTATTCGTCCAAATCGAGATCGCAAGTCTCGTCGAAATGTGCGGCCCAAGGTGCCGCGAAGGTTTTGTCGGCATCGCGGTTCTGAGCATAACCTATCTCTCGCAAGTATCCTTGCTCATCGCTGGCCGAAGCCGCGAGTGCGTGGTTGCCCGTAACCATCTCGGTGGGCACAGAACAAGGACTCCCATGAGGGAATCTCGAGCAGTTCCTTTTCGTTTGAAACTCAACATACCATATTTCCATGATGTGTGCTTCTAGGTCCATTACTGATTCTTTAACAACGGTCGGCAGCCTGCCGTCGAGCGCGGCCGGCGCTGGAGGTCGTTCCTCTTCTTGGGCATGGCCGCCCGAAGCTGGCATGCCCGCCAGGTCCTCAGACTTTGATAGGCGTTCGCCATAACCTGCTAAGGGTTTCGAGGACTTCAAGTGATGGGTTATGCGTACACGCGCGGCTCCAGTGATGTCATGGGTACTGAGAGCGGTACCTTCAAATACACAGCAATGGGATTCCGGCGTGACGTCATTGTCATAGTATACCAGGGTGCAGCTATCAGCGCATGGCGCTGTCTGTTGCCCGCGAATGCCTCTAGCCAAACGTATTGTTACTACGTTTTCTATCCCAAACTAGCTTCTGATGAGGAACTGTGAGGCTAAGTGTAACTTAGGCGAGAGACGGTCGCGGAAGTCATTCGCCAGTTTCCTTGCTTGGTCGGCAAGTAGCCGAAGACCGTGGCAAGTTTCCCCGCGGGTGAGCTCGCGATACAGGCCAACGCTGTACGCGTGGCCGTGGTATCAGCGCCGATCTCGCGGACCGTTGGCACCTCGATATACAGCGTGCGTCGTAAGTCTGGTGCTGTGCTAGGACATCCCGACCGCCGGCTTGCACGGCGGCC